AATATTTACAAATCCAAGAAATATTAAATGTATGTTTTAATTAATATAATCACAGTAACAGTTCAATGTAATGTAGAGTTAATCAGGGTGCGTTTACATGTCGTACATTAAAGAAAACATGTTTAGCCTCACTTGTTGCTAACTAACGTTAACATTACTGTTTAAAAAGTTAGAATCAGTGCAACGTTAGCGTTAGTTGTAATGTGTTAACTCTGAATTTTAACAGAGTGTGATAAAGACAAAAATATTTAAAATCGGCAGATTACATTTTTCAAAAAAAATTTAAATCTTGGCGCGAGTATGCCTTTTCTCAGCCTGTGCTGAAGTTGTCATGGAGACGCGCGCTCTCACAACCGTATGTCATGGCGCTGCGCTGAACTCCATCCAGTGTGTGAATGTGGTATTATCTTCGCGATCTGTAGGCACTTCGGAAACGAAAGGCGCAAGAAACGTAACGTTAATCATAACTCAAATGATCTCCGCCTAATCCCTAAACGGTATTTTCTGATGACGCTCAAAAACGTAGTCTCAAAACTTAACTCTGTCACATTGTCACATTGTAACATTGCTTGCTGATCCATGTATGAGGATAGCCTGACGGAGAACATTTAAGCTGCGCCCCTCACCTGAGCAGGTACAGAGCAGAGCTTCAATTTACACTACCACATTGAGGTAAAGTTGGTTTTATATTCATACATTCATTTAGTAACAACTTGTGACTCGCTCCATAAATTGTTTACCATGGTACTTTGTCTATTCGTTCTGAAATCACATGCAAGTATGACATGAAAACAATATTACACTAAATGCACAATTTTTTTTGACTGAACAATGTTGTACTTTGAAAGTCATTGGCTGCTAATATGATTTCACCATTAAGAATATGCAAAAATTACCTTTCTGAAATTATATTATTAAGGAGAAAGTCTGAATGTGTAAATATAAAACTAACTTTACCTCAATCACCAGCACTGATCAACACTTAATATTTTCTTGCGCTTAAGGCCACATCTCTGCATATCAATGATTACCTGATTAATGCGATCAGTTAAGTGAGTTTAAATGTCATTTAGGTCAAATGTATTTTAAAGGTATGATAAAAGTTTGTTTTTTTTTCAATCTATTTTTTAAAATGTTTACTCTGGAGAGAATATAAACAGCCTAAAAAACAAAGTATGCATATCTATAACACATTAATACAAAATTATGTTATTAAATTAAATAATAACAAAACAAAATATTTAAGACGTGGTAAACAAGACATAGTTTTCTGATGTGCAAATTTTGTAGCTTAAAATATATTTATATCTTAAAAATATAAATATTTTAGTATATATTTTTACATCATTAGACAATAAGGTAAGTTTTGTTATTTCTAGCTTTTAAAATCAGGCCTTAAATTTCTTTGTCGTCCTATTCTGTTTTAGAAATTTCAATACTGTTTAAATTAAATCTGTGTTCATCGAATCAAAGCAACTAACATGATAATCAGCTCTATTGCTAACCATTTTGGAGGTTAACGTTAGACATCATGCAATTGTACTACTTCCACTCTCAGCTAAATGACACTGTGACTTTGTGTACATACAGAATTGAAGGTCGGGTGTTGCTGACTACAGATAGGTTCTTAAATGGAGGCATGTGAAAGGTGGGTAAAATATTTATTTTGAACTACTATGCCTGGCATATCCAGATAAAATAAATATTACAGTGTATTTATCAATGATACTTTTGCAGCAAGGAAAGTGAAACTTCAGCTAGACCTTGAGTTCAGTTTACAACATGAAGATCCTGCTTTCAACATCTGATCAACACCTGATTTTCATCTGGGGTAAAAAATAGATAAGTAAATGAAACATAATAATAATATTAATACATTTTTTCTAGAATTGTATATTTTGTGGTGTGGGTTTGTTTTATGAAATTCTCTCTTGTTTCTTTTTGCTGTTTGCAGAGTACCAACATGTTACAAATGAGAATTTTCCCCACAAATTCTTTGCACAACTGGACCACCACCTAATTCATTTGATGACAATTTTAAGGCAAACAGCATCCAAAACTGGCAAGACAGCAGATTCCCTGGCTAATCTTTTAAAGGTTTATGATGAGCAGGTATGTTTGGGGTCACGTGTTAAAGTATACATTAAAATATAATTTGAATTTTTTTTTTATTTTATTTTAATTTTTAAAAAATTGATTCTTGATTTCCAGGAACTGCATGATGTCAGTTCATGACGGACTACTGTTATCAGAGGTCTTTTGGTCTTGCTGCGTGAGCGTGACTTAAGATTCTTTAGGAACACCCTGGTAAGACTTGATTCATTCTTTTCACAATTAGGCATGTTTAATAAAAAGATGAAAGTTTTGAAAACTTTTACTTAATAACATATTTGTAATCACGAATAGTTGATGAATCATATAATATTGGCTCAGTCATTGTGATACTGTCCTTACATTAATATGCTTGAATTATATTTTTAGATTGATAATCCTGCTGACTGAAGATGCTTTATTGGCCCTGCATTCACTGAGGGTCTCTGTTGTCCTGAAGAATGAATTGGACACCACCCACAGCACACTTCCAGACCTTTCTTGTCTTGTATGGATTAATGTATGCTCTTCACATAATATATAGTAAAGGACTTTGAACTTGTGCAAAAAGTTTTGCTTGGCATGGATGATGGAAAATAAAAAGTCTCGTAGCATGGAAACCTTAAAGAATGAGTTAATGTAGAGCTTTTTTTTTTTTTTTTTTTTTACTTAATAAAGACTGTCTCTGGGGTAGTAACTTCAAAACATTTATTTACCTTTAATTGGTAAGTATGCATTTTATTATATATAGGGATAGTTTGTCCAAATGTAAAATTCTGTCATTTACTAACTCTTCACTTGTCCCAAACCTGCTTGAATTTCTTGCTTCTGTTGAACACAAAAGTTAAGTAAAGCTGACAACCTGTAACCACTGACTTTCTAATAGGAAAACAAATACTGTGGAAATCGGTGGTTACAGGTCTCAGCTTTTTTTTTTTTTTGGTCAAAAATAACCTTTTAAGTGTTCAACAGAAGAAAGAAACTCAAACAGGTTTGGAATAAGTAAATGACAGAATCATAGTTCAACCAAGACTGAATATATATATATATATATATATATATATATATATATATATATATATATATATATATATATATATATATATATATATATATATATATATATAAAATATGCTCTCCGTTAAACAGAAATTGGGGGAAAAAATAAATGGGGGCGAATAATTCTGACTTCAACGAGATATATATATATATACAGTTTCTGTGTAGTTTACACTAAACGAGTCACTTCACAGAATGTGCACTTATTATTTTTTTAACGAATGCCTTAAGACTAAGTTTTACACTTATTAATGTATTATTAAATTTTATCAAACTTATAGTTGTTTTTTCTTGAGGCTCTTATGTCTGATATCATATTTACATTGTGGGTAATTTTTATTAATTTTAGAATAGTGTTCATTTTCAATCTCTTTATGTCTAATAGTTTTTATCGTTTTAAGACATTTGTAATTGCATAGGAGACAAATTTGAAAGTACTGTTGGACATTTTTTCTTTAAAAATAAATGTCTAAAATGGTATTGTCTGTGTGTTTTAAATTACAGATTTATTTTGACAGATTTATGGGGTTTAAAGATTAAAATAATGGCTAATTTTATTTGTGAAACAGACGATGGAGAAGTTAATTTTTAAAAAATGCTATAAAAATGTATGAGCTGGGTGATTTAAGTATTTAAAGTTGAAAGAAATTAAAGCAATTAAGTTAATTGGTATTAAAATGTATGAGCTGGGTGACTAAGTATTTAAAGTTGAAAGAAATTAAAGCAATTAAGTTAATTGGTATTAAAATGTATGAGCTGGGTGACTAAGTATTTAAAGTTTGGAAAATTTAAAACAATTAAGTCAATTGCAATTAAAACGTATAAGCTGAGTAACTTGGGTATTTTAAGTTAGGTGAAGTGTCTTGCATGAGTACAACAAACTCAAAACTTAATGTTTCTGTTTACTTAAAATAGATAATTTAATAAATTAAAAAATTTGACGTAACTGATTACCTCAAATTTTTTGAGTTTTGTCAACTTATTCGGGATTACAGTGTGGAAGTGGCCAAAACCCTTCTAAAACCAGGCTGATCGACCAGCTAAAACCAGCCAACCATCCTAGGCTGGTTTAAGCTGGATTTTTCAGCAGGGAAATGAAGCATTTTCAATATTTTGGAAAACTGTATGTTATTTATTTACACAGCCATAGTTATACAACTAATAGGAGTACTAGTAACAGTATTAATATCATGGAAAAAATAACATTTAATCAAAATATTAACCCAAATATTGATATTTAATCAAAATATTAACATTAATATTTGATTAAAATATTAAATATTATTAAAATCAAATTAACCCAATGCTTTGGTTTAAAATATAGCCCATAGTTGGGAAGGTGCCATAAAAAACCTATACTTGGGTTATATGATGGGGTATTTTTAACCCAACTTTTTAAACTCAGTATATGGAAAGATTTGTCCAATAAAATACACAAAATGTATGCAAATCTTTTTCCTTCCCCCTCATTACCTGTTGCATTTATTCCGTATAATCAATGTTTATGCAGTATCATCGCTACACATCAGATTCATCTGCACAATAATACGACTTACACAAATGTATAAAGTCATAATCATACTGTCTTAAAAATAAGGAATTGACTCATGCGAGTTGCTTCCAAACCAAGCTCTGCCAGAGGAACGTACCAAACCCGAGAGGAAAAGGGGAGGCCAGCTAACTGCCTTGCACATATATTCATAATATTCCATTGTAATTGCCAACTCATCCAACTTTAAGAAATGATTCGTTTTTAAACAAGCACTATCACAAACGTATATCGTCGAATTTTTAAAGTAAGCTCGACGTTTGTCACAAAGTTGAGCTGTTTCCCCCTGTCAGCGCTGAAAATCTAAACTAACAGTGAGCACTCTCGAGGTGTGAGGAACTGAAAACGGCTCTTCGCGCGGCCCGATGGAAAGCCACTGCATCCAGTTTGTATAACAAATAGACAAACGTTTCCGCTTGTGTATTTACTCGGTAATGTCGGCAGCAACATCAGTGGAATCGAAACGGACTGTTGGCATATGCTGTCGTCTTGTAACAAGGTAATAATTTTGAAATCTACTCTCCTATGAGATTTAACGCATCCATCAACAGCACCCAGGAGCAATATCCAGCTCCATATGCTTAACTTATGGCTATTTCTTTGATATTTCTTCTATACATATTTCTGTTTTACCAGTTATGCTTTATGCATGAATATATGAAGTGGTCGTGTTGGTGAATTGCAACATTAAGCAATGCACACCATATCACCCACATCTCCAAAAGCAGGACACATTGTTTCCTTTTTTTTGTTGCCAGGAAGATGCTTTCATTGCACTGTAGCGGCATAATGGAGAACATATAGATGCACATAGCTGAGATAAAGACTAATGGGTAGTGCATTAGCAGCTCAGGCTGACTGACTGATGAAGGAAGGTGGGTGTATTGATATGTGCAGAGCGCCGAAGACATGCACTGATTAAACTGTATATATGAGGCAATGCTGTAATACGTCATTTCTGAATCTAAACAGTCCAAATACAGTGGAAAAGAGAGACTGTACTGTTGTACGATGAAAAGTAACTTCAGGACGTGGCTGTTGTGGTTGCTTTTGATAAACCGATGACCGATTAATCGACTTTTTTATTTTTAGATTTAGCTATAATTGTTTCCAAATAACATGTAGTGTCTATTCAGAAATACTCTTTTAAATGGTTTTATGCGTTCAGTTATTTCTAATAATAATTGTGAAAATTACTTACTCGATAGATATCGATTGTTAACTGTAGCCCTTCTTCTGAAATATTAGAATTATTCTGATATCGGTCTATTAATTACAGATGTAAGTCGCTTTTTAAAATATACATCCTGTTTCGGAATATTGTGACTTTAATATTCTGTCAATTTTTAAAATAAAGCTGATTATTAAGATATGTCGATTAAAGGGGTTCTATTGTGAAAAAAACACTTTAATAAGTGGAACAGTCTGAATATAAACAGCTTCTAATTGAAAAAATGTATTCATTTTATTTTTCGTAATCACATTTCATAAAACCAGTCTGCAGAAACACTTTGATTGACAATCTTCCTTTGTACATGTCATCAAAGGGGGAAAGCCCATCCCATTAGTGATGATCTCTCACTCATTAGCATAGGACGTTAGTCTTGTTTTTGAGTTTGCCACTATGCTCTCACATAGGCATGTGTAGCCCCGCCCTCTTTTGAAAAAAGCACAGTCTCATTTTAATTTAATGCAACAGTCACCAAAACGGCACAATTAGGATCAAAGACTAAACGAGGCAATTCCAAAGAGTTTTACAAAATTATTTGTTAGGTATTTTGAACTAAAAATTCAAATACATGCTTTAGGGACATGAGAGACCTATTTGGCATCTTGTACAAATAGGCATAATAGGTCCCCTTTAATTGCGTTAATATAGTGTTAATATAGACCTATTCGAAAGTACTTATTTTGGTATTTCCTTTATAATAAGTTTGTTTATTACAGAATAATAGCAGAACAGTCAGTGTGAACTGTTTGATTCTTGATCGAAACATTAGAAACAAAACAACCCAACCTTAACCTTAAGCCAATATAAATTCATGATTAAAATAAAAACTCGGACTTATCACGACATTGTTCAGAAAATTTAATGTTTTATGATAAATGTGAATAAATACTGACAAGAAATGCTGGTCTTGTTATATAATCGGTATTATGTAGAAACGTAATAGCAGGGCTGGGCTATTTGGTCTAAAATTAAAATCTTGATTAATTGAAAATTTTAACTCAATTACGATTAATTAATGATTACTTTATTGATTTTATAGTTTACCGACATGTTTTGTACAATAAATATGCTCACATATTAAAAGTAAGAGATTTTTGATCGGTGCATTACTTGATTTTAAATTGATTGAAGTAAACACACACTATCTGTGAAACAACTTGCACTTTTGAAAACAAAACGGTGGTGGCAGAAGTATAAATCAAGGCTTAACTGAGCGGGGTCACGTGACTCCACATACCCAGCCCTTTATAATAGGCAACACAAAATTAACACCTCTGGCTCTTAGTGACACAATGAGGTTTTATGAAGCGAAATGTTCAGTTTGATGTTAACAACATTATTACCTTTAATCCACAGTCACATCAGGATTCATTTGTGTAGCCTGTATGTGTTTTTGGCATTTAAAGTGCTGGTAGCCATTGCATCAGAAATCAGCAGTTTCAGCTAAAAATCATTAATATTGATTTTAAAAAGTGACATTGATCTCAGCTAGGGTTGTAACGGTATGAATTTTTCACGGTATGATAATCGTCTAAAACAATACCACGGTTTGACGGTTTCGCGGTATACGGTATGTTACAAATGTTACAAAATAATTAATAATTAAATAACAGTGAAGCAAATTTGACTTTTTCCAAATAATATATTTTTAGTTCCTATAAACAACACCACTTACAATGAACAAATAAAAATAAGAAAATAATAAATAATGTGTCAAAGTCCAAATAAAGTCCAAATAAACATGGTGCAAATCCTCAGTAAAAAATAGATATAAATATTTACTATACTATAAATAGTTACATAACGAAACTAGATTCAATATGGAACATCCTTAGGTTTTATGTGCCAGCATGGATATGGTTGTCTATCGATATGGATTTGGATATGGTTGTCTGCAATGCAGACAAACAGCTGCATCTTCATTTGCGTCTTTTGAAAACAGCAAGAGCAGCAGTTCGTCTTTGCTGTGTCACTGTTTTGTCATGTTTCTGTGCTGCTGTGCATGCAAAAGTACTTAGTATGAGAATTATTTCATCCAAACTTTCTCATTCTCAATCTCTCATTCCGTGTTGTTCAAAAAGCTTGGTCCACAAACAAAAGCGAAACCTATGCTTATTGGTTGTGATATAGCGAGTTTGAACCAATCTGGGCATGGAGGAGGGACAATGCATCAATGTATCATGTCTGATTTGTCCGGAGACACAGTGACGAGCGTTTCTTTGTCAAATCAGCGTTGTCAAATGTTGATGACGTAACCGCACTGATTCCGGAGCCTCTGAAAGTCCGCGAATGTTATGTGATACAGAACTGGAAAGCTGAGATTCTCTTCTTTATGCCAATCTTTGAATTGTATGAATCGGATCAGCGGATCAAAAGTTATTAAACATTTAAGAGCAATACTTATTTTTAGCCGCGGGCGGCTGTCTCGATCTTTAAGGGTTAAAACCGTTGATATGCAATTGTTCATGGTATGATAATCGTGCACGTTCAAATCGTGGTAAACCGTCATACCGGTATATTGTTACAACCCTAATCTCAGCATATTTTCCTTTATGTGTGAACTGTCCCTTTAAAAGAGACTTGTAATCTCTGAAATGTCACTAATGGACTCTATATTGGAATAAAGAAGCATTGTGCAAATTGAGGCTTATCCAAACCAGAACATCTCACTCAGGAAACCCAGTCTAGACCAGACAGTTGGCCTGAAATCCTGTGATTTTTTTCAGTGTGATCTCAGCTTGAATCTGCCAACAATGACAGACTCAGACAGATTGACCACAGTGAGCTAAAACTGTACCCGTAAGATTGCGTCAAAGCCTCCGAAATTAATTAAACAAGCTCGAAAACACCAACTCAACGTCTAATTAGGGTCGAGCACCCAAACTGTTGGACGGTTAGCTGTCATTTTTATGTCAGTGTTACGTCTCCTCCAGTCGCCCTTCCTGACGACCACAATACCGGGAAGTTCAGGATTTCCTTTCTGAAATCGTCAGGCTGTGACTCCACTTCTGGAGGATCAGTGAACCAGCTGGAGCTAAAACTACAACCTCATGTACTGTACATGTTCCAGATCAGATCTAAATATTAATTATTCATTATTATTATAAATTATATTAAATATTCTCTTGTCTGCAAATATGCATTTAATTGTATTATATTATCACATGTTTTATTTTTTGAACAAATTTTACTAAATAAATCAAAGATAAAACACATTTTATTGATCAATTTTGTGTGCATATACAAATGAACTATTTTCTTTCACTTCCAAAAATATATATCTATAAAAATGTACTGGTTTTATCACCAATATATGCAATTGACTAGTTTTAGTAATTGCTTCTTAAATTATTTAATTCATTTTACAATGAAATAAAATAATAAAATCAGAAAATTCTGGGATAGGTCTGTCTGTTTGTATCTGTTTGTGTGTGTGTGTGTGTGTGTGTGTGTGTGTGTGTGTGTGTGTGTGTGTGTGTGTGTGTGTGTGCGTGTGTGTGTGTGTGTGTGTGTGTATACACACACACACACACACACACACACACACACACACACACACACACACACACACACTCACTTGCCACTTTATTTGGTACACCTGTCCAACTGCTCGTTAACGCAAATTTCTAATCAGCCAATCACATGGCAGCAACTCAATGCATTTAGACATGGTCAAGATGATCTGCTGCAGTTCAAGCCGAGTATCAGAATGGGGAAGAAGGGTGATTTTAGTGACTTTGAACGTGTCATAGTTGTTGGTGCCAGATGGGCTGGTCTGAGTATTTCAGAAACTGCTGATCTACTGGGATTTTCACGCACAACCTAGGGTTTACAGAGAATGGTCTGAAAAAGAGAAAATATTCAGTGAGCGGCAGTTCTGTGGGTGCAAACGCCTTGTTGATGTCAGAGGAGAATGGCCAGACTGGTTCAAGCTGATAGAAAGGACACAGTAACTCAAATAACCACTCGTTGCAATCAAGATTTTCAGAATAGCATCTCTGAACACTCAACACGTCCAACCTTGATGGGCCAGAGTAGCAAAAGACCACACCGGGTGCCACTCATGTCAGCTAAGAACAGGAAACTGAGGCTACAATTCGCACAAGGTCAGCAAAATTGGACAACAGAAGACTGGAAAAACGTTGCCTGGTCTGATGAGTCTCGATTTCTGCTGCAACATGCGGATGGTAGGGTCAGAATTTGGTGTCAACAACATGAAACCATGAATCCATCCTGCCTTTTATCAGTGGTTTAGGCTGGTGGTGGTGGTGTAATGGTGTGGGGGATGTTTTCTTGGCACACTTTGTGCCTATTAGTACCAATTGAGCATTGTGTCATTGCCACAGCCTACCTGAGTATTGTTGCTGACCATATCCATGCCTTTATGACCACAGTGGACTCATCTTTTGATGGCTACTTCCAGCAGGATACGGCACCATGTCATAAAGCCTGAATCATCTCAGACTGGCTATCATGTCAAAATGGACCAAAATCTCTGAGGAAAATTTCCATTACCTTGTTTAATCTATGTCACGAAGACAGTTCTAAAGGCAAAATGGGCTCCAACCCAGTACTAGTAAGGTGTACCTAATAAAGGGAGCAGTGAGTGTATAAATGCAGTTAATTACCAATAGAAAATATTCACAATTTACAAAAAAAAAAAGTTTTTTCTTACCCAGATTGGATTGGACTTTGATAGATACAATGTTGTTATTGGTTAGTATTGTTTTTCCCCACTCACAAGGCCTCAAAGACATCAGCAGGAAAATTAGGTTGTTTCAGAGACTGGGAAAGTTGTAATAATTTACAAAAAGAGTTGTGCAACCTCAATTAAATGTTTTTTTTTCTTTAAATTGAAAATGAGTAAATGTAACGTAAATGGTGTTTATATTTGTTTGACCCAGAAGCCGCCTTTCCACTGCACACGACATTTGGACATGACTGTCGGAATACGCCCCCTTGTGGCAGCCGCACAGTATTTTCAGTGTTGTCGTGCACCATGGGGGAGAAGCTGATTCTCACGGTGTCCGAAATAAAGGAGTGCAAAAGCAAGAGCCTTTATTCTCTGTGCGTTTATATAATTTAATGAATGAATGAATACTAGAAACTCATAGACCGCTAAAATATTGGAGGGAATGTGGAGACGACATTAAAAATATAGATTTCTTGCTTACATTTATGAACAGAAAAGTTTTTTTTTAAATAGACTTTTTATAATTAAAAAAATAACCAAATAGACTTCTATTTCTCATCTCGCACGCACGGACCTGCTTGGACGGAATACATCATATCCGGTCGGCAGGTCGCATACGGTCTAGTCGCAGGAGTTCAAATATTTCAACGGATCTGCAGCTCAATTCGAATTCGGAATTTTCAGCATACGGAGATGATTGGAACTCCACGCAGCGCCCGAACTGCTCTCCATTGGAAATAAATGACTTCCGGTCTGTCGCTTGTCGTTTATCGTGTGCAGTGGAAAGGAGGTTAGAGAGAGACACTCTGTACACTCAGCGACCATATTTGCAATCCAAAAGTTCATCCAAGAGCTATTAAAAATTAATAGGGGAATCCTGAAAACTCAATTAAATTACATGTTTCAAATCACCAATCAAAATCGTAAGTGATCCATCCTATTATTGTAGTTTTGCAAGTAATTATGTTTAAAACATGTTATTTATTACAGTTTGCTACTGCCATGCACAAATAATTGGCACTACACTCATTTCCTTTATGGCTGTTTCCGTGGTAACCAGAAAAAGCAGTGGGAATCACTGGAAGAACAGAGACAGAAGCTGTAGTAAACACCAAAAGACGACACTAGAGGGACACAATATGTGCTGTGATGTTATTTGTCTTGTCAAAATTATAACATCTGTCCAGATGGACAACGGATGAAAAATAGCCTTTTGGCTAACTCTTGTGCATTTTGCAGCAATGCTAATTAATGTACATTATCCCTGCCAAACAAACAAACAAACAAACAAACAAACAAACAAATAATTTAAAACAATTAAATGCAGGCTTATAATAGTCAGCAAATGACAGGACTATCCATAACCACCAAGCAAACCATTACAGACCCCTCCCCCAAGGAACTGCTTGGCTATAAAAATTGATGGTTGGCTACTTTGACTGGAAGTCAGGACTTCCTTCATTTAGGTGGCCAGCCATATTGAACGTTCCACACTTTTCCCTATTCACAGTAATGCAAGTCAACTGACAAGGCTGTATGTCTTGAGTCATTGGTTGAAACAACTACAGAGTCCAGCCCTTGGTCTTTTCAACCAAGTTCTGTTTCTGTCTACATTCAGATTGTATTGGGATATAAATACCGAAACAGCAGTCAAGCGATGTTTGAAATCAACTTGATGCTTCAAATTAAGGTTGTATTATTTGCATTGTTACAGCAACCGGTGGTGAAAAGCAACCATTAAAATGCATTGATTAATGAATACTTTATATTCAAAAAAGCTGAACCATTAATGAAACATGAACTCTTTATAAGCAAGTTCTTTAATTTGAATTGAGATCAAACATAAACAGTAACTTCACTGACCCTGATTACAATTTTCTTTTAGTCATAACAGTGAAAGCGTCTTGTAATAGCCATCAGTAACACTCCAGTTGAATGCCCTATTAGAAATAAGACAGTCAATCATCTTTCCCACATCGGGAGAGTTACGGTGTGGAGAAGCCCCAAAGAAGCGTACCATCCAGACTGCGCCCGGAGTGAAGCATGTGGGTGGATCAGTAATGGTTTGGGCCAGTGGTGTAGTCCTTGCTATACGCACGTATACTCAGTATGCCTACTTTTTTCCACAAGCTGTTTGGGTATTACCATTTCTGAGGATCAATAATTGCGCATGCCTTCAGTATACTCACTTGTTTTGGTGAATTTTGTGCCTTCGCATCTCCTTTAAATGTCTACCAAATGTATTTTTTTATTTGCATCTTAATTTGTTGCAATTGGTGCATTTGTTTAATTTTCCTCATTCTTCGCCCCCTGACGACCGCAGCAGCCTTAAAAACATGTCGTAAGAGTTTTTCGAAGATCACAACAAATCAACTGAATGATGTAAAATTAAAAAACAGCATGGGCGCCCCTTTAGCACTTCTAGATTTCCATTCGGCCCCCTAAAACATTATTTGCGATTACCTCATAAACTGTAAATCACTAAATGACCGCCTCAGTCCCCTAAAAATTTGATATAAAAACGGAGGCAGACTTCCTCTCCTCTGTTTTCAACTCGTTTTTCATTTAGTCAGCAAAAAACAGTTGTGAGCGCAAGGTGTGTTTATCGATAGATTGTTGGAATATCTGCATATTATTATATATATATTTAATTAGGCTCATATACATTAAAATACAGCTTAATATAATCAGCCATTCTCCAGGTCTGCTGAGGTCACTATAATAGCCAAGCATAACTGAATTGGAATTAAAATGAATACATTTGTTTAAATATTTTTAAATAAATAGTTCACCCAAAAATGAAAATTGTCATCATTTACTCAACCTTTACTTTTTCCAAACTGATTTGTCTTTTTTTATTCAGTTGAACACAAAAGAAGATATTTTGAAGAGAGCTGGACACCATAGTTATATATATATATATATATATATATATATATATATATATAGCTAATGAATCGAGGAAACATTGACTTTTGTCGTCCCTTTGCCTACTTTTAAAATTTGGATTGGGTGGGTAATAGTATACCACCTTTTTTTTTAGGACTACACGCCTGGTTTGGGCTGCAATATCATGGTATTACCTAGGCCCAATACTTGTGCTAGATAGACTACCGAATCATTCTGAAGGACCATGTGCACCCAATGGTTCAAACTAGGCATGGGGCGATAACCAGTTTCAAGGTTTACCGCGGTTTGAAAAAGTTAAAGTTTTGAAACTGCAAACATTTAGTTTTTATATCGTTCCCAAGGTATATGTAAGGTTTTTGTGTGTGTTTGTGTTTTAAGACTATTTCATTAGGTTTTTTAGGGCAACAGTATTTACAGAAAAAGGACCCTCCACAACAAAAGCTACTGGTCAGCCCATGATTCAGGAATTTGTCCAAAAAACAAGTAATTTACACCAGCATACAAGCATGCTGTAGACCTGAACAGTGCAGTGGCTTTTCTTTATATCCAAATAAAACTATCCCAAGATGCCTTTTCAAGTTGCTATGAAATCTGTAATTTTGAAACTAATGAAGACAGCCAGTGAATTACTTAAATTGTTTTGCTTGACATGTTCAAAATAAAGAAGCCAAACTATTTTAAAATGTTTCTTAAAACAAAACATATTGTGCTCAATGAGGAAAAAAGTCATTGTTTTTGTAGCCAGACATTTTGAAATAAGTTATTTTTGAGCAGTAGTCAAAATACCGTGAAACCATGATGTTTTTATCCAAGGTTATCATATCGTCAGAATTTTATACCGGCCTGTGCCTAGTTCAAACATTGTATCCTGAAGGCGGTGCCATGTATCTGGATGATAACAACAATACATGTGATTTGAGGAACATGAAAATGAAGTTGAATCTCTTATGGCCTGCACAGTCACCAGATCGAAATATTATTGAGCCACTCTGTGTTTTGGAGGAGCGAATCAGGAAACGTTTTCTTCCACCAGCATCCCATAATGACCTGGCCATTAATCTGCAAGAAGAATGGCTCAAAATCCCTCAGGCCACTGTCCACTTCTGTATCTGTCACTCCCAAGACGAATTAATGCTCTATTGCTCAAAAAATGAGGCACTATACAACATACTAATGAATTACTGTGGTCTAAAACCAGATGTTCAGTTTTTATATAGAATATAAATACTAAAAAAACTGTAGGAAACTACTTTTTATTAGCACTTGTCTATTATGTAGTAGACAGAATTTTGATGATTTCAAAGCAAACAATCTTAAATTAGTTTTTTTAATGTTTTTTTTATTAGTTTATTAAATTAAAGCTTCAATTATGATATTTAAATAAATATTATAATACATATAAAATATCATATTTAGCATTTTTTTAGCATTTACTTGTGTGTTTTGCAGGTGTAGTGGTCTTCATGGCGGCCAGCAGCGTGGTTCCTGGGGACAATCTGCCCGTATATAAGCTGGTGGTGGTGGGCGACGGTGGCGTAGGCAAGAGCGCACTCACTATCCAGTTTTTCCAGAAGATCTTCGTGCCCGATTACGACCCTACCATTGAGGACTCCTACCTCAAGCACACTGAGATCGACGGCCAGTGGGCCATTCTGGACGGTGAGCACAGCCCTGTCAGGCCAGCAGAGGGCAGCTCTAGCCTAACTAATGTATGAACATAAGACACAAAGAATGAATTACCATGTTAGCGTGGCAGAAATGGCAAAATCTTTTTCAGAGCAATTAATATTTACATTTATATGTCTGAATATATCAATCTAAAGTTAAATTCAAAATTATTAGCCCTCCTTTGAATTTTTTTATTCTTTTTAAATTAAATTATTTTAAAGGTGCTTTTCAACAGACAGAGCTTTTTTTTCTTAACACATTTTAAACAATAGTTTTAATAACTGATTGTTTTTTTTAGGTTTAAGTCATTGTATAACAGTACTGGTTCATTCTGTAGCCAATGGAAAAAAACATTTCTTAAGAGGGCTAATAATAGTTTTTAATAATAAAAAAAAGAGGTATAAACTGCGTTTATTCCAGACAAACTAAAATAAATATGAGTTTCTATAAAATAAAGAATATTATAGAAAATACTTTTAACATCTGTTAAACATCACTTGGGAAATATTTAAAAAAGAATAACAAATTCTGGTGATTCTGATTCTGGTGTAAAACAATTATTAGTGTAAAACAGATGAGAATAAAATAAGAAATAAAAGAAAACAAAATAGTAAAAATGAAGAAAACACAGATCTAATATGTTTTTACTGTGCGTGTAGTTCTGGACACAGCCGGGCAGGAGGAGTTCAGTGCGATGAGAGAGCAGTACATGAGGACAGGAGACGGTTTCCTCATCGTCTTCTCCGTCACTGATAAAGCCAGCTTTGAACATGTGGACCGTTTCCATCAGCTCATCCTCAGAGTCAAAGACAGGTCTGAACACACACACACACACCCACAAGCTCACACTCATTCGCATACAAATGCACACATGCAGGAAATACTAAGACAGAAAAGAGGAGCGTTTTTTTCGTAATGAGACTATTTTCAGTGATGTTCCCTCTTTAGTGACTAATTTCGTTGTACCACACGGAGAGTAATAAATAATTTGGAACAAGTTACATGTGTCTTCGTTCGTTCACCAGCTGTAACGAATAAAGAAGGGAGTCAACCCCGAAACCAACATTATTTAGCCCTGGAGTAAAAAGTGAATCTCCCCTGCTATCTCTAACACTACATAGAGACAGAGCAGGAAAGGTTTACACATTACATTACAATTACGTAATTTGTTGGTTTAAAGATATCAGCCTAATTTAGACATTGGATCGATAACGATAATCTTAAAAACAGCATTTATCGGCCAATAACAATATGGCCGCCGATATGTCGTGCATCCACACACACACAAACAGACATACACACTCATGCACACACACTTACATTTAAAAACTCATACAGATGCACATGCACTCACACATTATACACACCCAGATAGAAATACTCAAAAATACAAATTCGCACACACAATTACACAAATTCACACTCAAACATACAAACACACACAGATTACAGACTCACACACTTAAACATACATACTCATGTACACACAATCACAAATAAACACTCAAATATTCAAACAATCACACACACTCAGACACAAAACACATAAACTCACATTACACTCGCTCTCACAAAACGCATACACGCATATACACACTCAAGCACAATCACATATAAACGCTTGCATTGACAGTTTTGCGCTTGAGCGCCTCCAAGTGGTGTTTACTGTAACTTCAGCAGCTCTGTGTACGTGAACAAAAGTGCCGATCTGATTGGTGCAGCAAAACAAAAAATGAGCAAGAGCTGTGTTTTTTTTAAATTACGCTTTTACACTTGCCGTTTTGCGCGTTGGTGTGCATGATCACATTGACGCCCTTTATTTAGTCACGAGGCGTTAAACGTCGATGGAAAACGCAAGCAAAAAAAGCCTCGGTGTGCACAGCCCTTAACATATAAATACACACGTTACACTAACTCTCGCAAAATGCACACACACATACCCTCATGCACACTGAGACAAACACAGACATGATTATGCATTACAATACATTTCTAAAATGGCGCTAAAAGCTATGAATCAAATAAAAACTTCTGATCCAGTTTTGGCTATTCGTTTAGACAACGTTTTAGTTAACATTGTTAACGCTAGTTAATAGCATAGACTGTAAAAGATATAGACGTAGTATCCGTGACATCACCCATACGCAAAAGAAGCGTAGGCGTGTTCACCAGGCGCCATTTCGTTCGCGGGTAATCACACCGATCGGGGGATACCAAACGAAGGCAAAGTGGTGGAGCGTGAGAGGAGCTATACATGCCTGCTGGAATTTTGCTTTGTCCGGCTTTTCTCTGGGAGAAACGCTTAATACTTCATTACCTGCGACTCATTGGTGTTCTGGCCACATGTGCTTGGTTGTATACTATATCAATAAAGTGTTTAGACTTTTAAAAACACAATTGTAATGCTTTGAGCAACTAAGCATTATTCTTATGACGTTTTTCTACAGGAGAAAAGTGCGAATTACTTTCAAAAACTTAAAAAATATAGGCTGTGTTAGTAAATGCAAGGCTATTATTGAAATCTAGGCATAACACTGTATGACAACGTTTCAATTCTATAGCTAACAGCTAATCGATCTTTCAGATTCTGGAGTGCTTTACAGGTCTAAACAAAATGATAAATAATTTGGTATATAAGTATAAAATTTCACTCACCTGGGACATGGAGGCCAAGTAAATGGTTTGTGAGCACAATTAAGTGCACACAGCATGCCATATTTTCTAATAATATTTAATAATAATGTGTTTTTTAAAAATTACGCTTTTACACTTGCCGTTTTGGTGTGCATGATCACATTGACGCCCTTTATTTAGTTACGAGGCGTTAAACGTCGATGGAAAACGCAAGCAAAAAAAGCCTCGGTGTGCACAGCCCTAAACATATAAATATACACGTTACACTAACTCTCGCAAAATGCACACACACATACCCTCATGCACACTGAGACAAACAAAGACACACACCACTGATGTTCACTAGTTTCATTGTGTGTTTGTGCTGTAGAGAGTCGTTTCCTATGGTTCTGGTGGCCAATAAAGTGGACCTGGTGCATTTACGCAAGATCACAAGTGAGCAGGGCCGAGAGATGGCCTCCAAACACAGTGTGAGTCAAACACTTCAGCATATACATTCCTCTTCCACAGATGGACGGGACAGCGAAAACGTTACCAGATATCATGATATTATTGGGTAATATTGTTTGTCCAACCCACAAGGCCTTGATAACATCAGCAGGAAAGTGATTTGACTATAGGAAACCTTCTCTTTATATTATACATTTCATTACATTTCTTTATTTTTATTATTGTTATGATATTGTTGTTATTAATTTGATTGTTTTTGAATAATGCAAACAAATAAATAGTACTGCATATCACTGTTCAATTTTCCATTTTAATTTTAATATCTACATTAATATTTTATTACATTATTATTGTACTGTTTTTGTATTTATAATAACTACAAATTTTATTATAAAATTTTTTAACTATTATTTAAAAAGTTGTATTATTATATTTTTATTGTACTTTTAAAAAAAATTGCAGACTAATTAGCAATGCAGGTAATTTGTTCACATTAGGAGCAACAATGATTATAATTTACATTTGTTTTAAATATTGTGTGTCACATTTACTATTAATCCTATTTGCTATTATAACTGTTCTATATTATGTCTTCAACCCAGATCACGTATATCGAGACGAGTGCGAAAGATCCACCAATGAATGTAGACAAAGCCTTTCACGAGCTGGTCAGAGTCATACGGTGAGTCCGGTTTTACCACTGCACCCCTACGTATGCTACAAACTGTTAGCACTTCGACTCATCCCAAAAGTTTTTCGATCTCCACTTCCAGTCAGCAGATCCCGGAACGGGGCCTGAAGAAAAAGCGGAAAGGCAAATGGCGAGCGGACAGACCTTCGGCTTCCCAGAGGCTGCACTGCGTCTTACTGTGAGCGCAAACCCTCTATCTCTGGGCGTCAACGCCGCGATGACCACATCCTGACTGTTAAAACAAACACACACACACATCATAATATCCAGGAAGTAGAGAAAATACAGCCTGAGCATTCCACTATTTTACGACAGAATTTTGAATTTTTCAAAATTCCGGAAAAAAAAAATGTATAAAAATGTGGAATTTCAGGCCGTTTTAGTTTGATTTTCTTGATCCGTCAGGATTCTTGCGCTGTTCACTCTCGTATCCTCTCAGAGAACAATTCAGAGACACACTTTCTGAGGCCTTGTTTTGTATAGTGTTTCTATATATTTATTGTGCCGATTTCTATATTGTTACGTGATTGTTAATACAGCGAAAAGGCTTCGGAATAATCTGTATGGGTCAGAAATGCACAACTGGTATATAAACACACACACATCTGTATGTAGATGTAGAAGTCTTCGAAAAAGGGGGCGGAGCAAATTCTGGTTACCATAGATACCACAATGTTATGATTATGCATTACAATACATTTCTAAAACGGCACTAAAAGCTAGAAACAAATAAAAACTTTTGATCCAATTTTGGCTATTCGTTTAGACAACGTTTTAGTTAACATTGTTAACGCTAGTTAATAGCATAGACTGTAAAAGATATGGACGTAGTATCCGTGACATCACCCATACGCAAAAGAAGCGTAGGCGTGTTCACCAGGCACCATTTCGTTCGCGGGTAATCACACCGATCGGGGGATACCAAACGAGGGCAAAGTGGTGGAGCGTGAGAGGAGCTATACATGCCTGCTGGAATTTTGCTTTGACCGGCTTTTCTTTGGGAGAAACGCTTAATACTTCATTACCTGCGACTCATTGGTGTTCTGGCCACATGTGCTTGGTTGTATACTATATCAATAAAGTGTTTAGACTTTTAAAAACACAATTGTAATGCTTTGAGCAACTAAGCATTGTTCTTATGACGTTTTTCTAAAGGAGTAAAGTGCGAATTACTTTCAAAAACCTAAAATATAGGCTGTGTTAGTAAATGCAAGGCTATTTATGAAATCTAGGCACAACACTGTATGACAACGTTTCAGTTCTATAGCCTACAGCTAATCGATCTTTCAGATTCTGGAGTGATTTACAGGTCTAAACAAAATTATAAATGATAAATGATTTTAAATCAAATAAATACATTTATAGATTTGGTATATAAGTATAAAATTTTACTCACCTGGGACATGGAGGCCAAGTAAATGGTTTGTGAGCACAATTAAGTGCACACAGCATGCCATTTCATATAATAATTGTAGGAAAGAATCCCAAAAAGCAATTGACTGTGTAAAGCCACATAAAACAAAACAAAAATACGATGTATATGCCAATTTCAGTGGTTAATCAGCCAGAATGACATGACGGCGATAAGCGAGACCTAGCTTTCACTCAAGTGGCCACGCCCTTAATTATGCTGACTTAATATAACTGAATAAAAATGAAATGCATGAAAAAATTCACTCCCCTCACAGTTGTCATGAACAGTAATATAAGCAATATGAACCAAAACCATCTTTTGTACCAGGTTGTTAACATGTTTCTATCAGCTGTAAAATTGGCCAATTTAGCATTGCAGTCAGTGGACATCCGGAGTTTATGGAGCCAGCCACCAAAGGCGAGTCAGTGAATTGCAGTTTCAGTTACTTCCGTATTGGCTTCACGAGGGAGAGCGGGAGGTTGTCGCTTGGTTAATAGTTAACGCTTTTTTTTGAAAAACTGTGAATCTATTCGCAAGTGTATTACGTGTTCACTTTATAGTCATGAGTGTGTACTCTACAGCCAAAAAACAATGGTGACTAAAAGACTATTTGTGGAGGCATATAGTGTTTCTTTACTAAATGACAATGCGACAATGCGTGGTGTAAACAATACACATTTATTTGTTATTTCCGCTGAATGTATTCACAAACATTTTTGTTTCTACACAATTTTTCTGTTTAACTCTTTGTTGTGTTTTAATATTTTTTACTTTAAAACTGAAAACAATCTATTCTCTCTCGATTTTCTGCTTATAAACAAATGGGTAACTATGGTAACCCGGATTGCATTTTCTGCCGCTAAACCAAACCCCCGATTTCTGATCGTATCCATAAACACTTTCAGACAGATTGATGACGTTATGTAAGCTCAACTTTAATGATATTTATTGTTATTCTATGATCTGTAAGTTGATCATAGATCAGGACCATCACGATGAAAGTTTTGTACATTTAATGCCTGAATTACGTTGCCATAAAACTGATTTGATCAGTAATTGCACAAAAAATAATGTTACAGTGTTACATTGTGTCTCTGATGCTTCTGTTATACAGTTACAATGTAATCTTCTACATTGTGACATCATAGATCGGTTTGAACTTGTGTTGTCATTTATTTTTTTCTCGTCTTGAATGCATCGTCACTTTACTTTGAATGTGTTTGGGCTTGTTTTGAAGTTCTCATCGATGTTTTGAATGTATCGTTTGTTGCTCTTTTCGCCAGTTTTGCTTTTGGATGTTTCGAAAAGGTCCAGCTTTAGTGTTTAGCAAATTAAAAGGAACATTGTCCAAGTAGCCGGTTCAGGCTGCCTCCTTCGTTTTGTGGTTGTGATTTTCTTACAGTATGTGTTACTTTAATCTTACGAAAGCAGATCTGTTTTGTTTTAAAAACTGGACGTCCTTCTGACATTTCTGACTTTGTTTGGAAAAACTTGGTGCAAATTTTTGTGGTTCAGTTATTACTGGATTTCTTTTTTAAATAATTTATTATACAAATTCTATGTATTCTGTGACCATGTTTGTATGAAGACGATTAAGGCCAAAAACTGCTTTGAAAAAGAAGGGAATTTTTGCATCAAGAATATTGTAAGAGTTTGTAAAATGGAATATAAACATATTATAATAAAAATCTAATAAACCAATCAATTTTGTGAGTGATATTTTCATTTTATTCATTTAAAATCTGCATTAATTCAGTGGTTCAATATCCAACATTCTAAGCTTCTAGAATCAATGGTCTCAAACTCAATTCCTGGAGGGCCGCAGCTCTGCATAGTTTAGCTCCAACCACCTCCGACTCACACCTGCTTATTGGTCTCTAGAAGTTTTGAATAACTTGATTAGTTGGATCATCTGTGTTTGATTAGAGTCAGAGCAAAACTGCAGTGTTTTTCTCCAACCCTTAGATGATGTAGAACATCTATGGCCCTCCAGGAATTGAGTTTGAGACCTATGAACGTGTTTTTCAACCACATTCCTGAAGGACCACCAGCACTGCATGTTTTGAATGTCTTCTTTGTCTGTCAAACCCATTACAGGTCTTTCAGTCTC